TAAAGCGCGGTGGTCGTCGCGCAGCGCGTGTTCGAATTTCATGTAAATAAACAATGTATTTTACACGCGTTGTATACGTCGCTATGGGTCCCATATAGAACAGGACGCGGCACGACGACTATCGCCCTTTAACTAAACAAATGACAATATTTCTAATTTTGTATTTTCATACAATTATATCATGATTGTAACAGATGTCCTGATATAGCTACGAAGTCTCTTGTGGCAGTGACTTCTGTTATTTTCTGTGTTTCTTTTGAATGATTAGCGTTGACAATGTGTAGGCGAGCTAAAATTGGTCTATATTCAAGAATTCGTGAATTTGCCGACTGTTACTACACTTTTGAAGTTGAAAACATTGTTGATATGTTTGAGAAAACTACAGTAGACTGCACGTACACATATGTGAGCAAAACAAAGCAGAGCTTTCTGTGCAAATATCGCCACAAATAGCAATGTATCAACGGTTACGCTATTGTGTTCAATGCCGGCCTTCTAAACTGAAACAAAGATGATAACACTTTCTTGTGTTATATATAAGTAAATTATATATTTACACATAGATCTGTGTCACACTTATATATTTACACATAGATCCGTGACACACTTATATATTTACACATAGAACCGTGACAGATTCATTTATTTACACAAGAATTTTCTGAGATATACACAACATTTCCCAGTGTAATAATTATTGTGAGTATCTCTAAACGTTGAGGGCGTTCGACTACGACTAATTTTCCAGAACGTCATTGAGAACTACATGATAACGAAATATAAAATAAATATGTTTTCCTGTGTGTTTTGTAGTGACACCCAATCCCAATTCACCATATCCACAAGCGATTTAAGACCCTTGTCACGATCCACTGGCTGTATACATATAAATAGCTTTGAATCAGCTAGGTATTATTTATTGTTGGAACGAACATTCTTTTGTTGATATCAGCATGTATATTTCATTTGGTGCATCAATATAATCGAAAGATTGGGTATTTTCCGTGAAAATAAATTAAGCAAAACAAGGCTGCCAACAAAGTAACATCACGTTTTCGCAACACATTTAAGTGTTTTGTTGCACGTGAATTAGGACGTGGCACGTACAAATTGTTTACAATGTATATTCAATATAATTTATATATTTGTTATTTTACAGGACTATAATGGAGAGAATAAACATATCAGATCAAGAATCAATTGCCACAAGAGAACTAAAGAGGGCGCTCTTCCAAAAGGTCTGTGTCTGTCAATTATTTGATGTTATTTAAATATTACGCGTTGCTTTTCGAAAACCCTGATACAACTCAAATGGTGGCAGTCGTCGCGCTGTGTTGATAAACATTGATTTTCCCACAATCCAATGTGCTTTTCTAATGGAAATCACGAGTATGAGTTTTGACCTGGGCGCGACTTGCACTAATTACTGCCAGAGACTCCTTTGACACCTTCCAATCAGCCACAAAATACCTAATTAAAGCTTGGTAACGTATCAATTTGTACTCGTTCATCTGCTCAACAATCAAAGACGCCATTTTTGTGTATATGAGACCCATATATCTCACGCATGCGCGGCCCGACGACTACCGCCCTTTAAGGCAATTTGAGCCCAATTCAAGTTGGATACACGCTGAATAACCATTCTGTTATAATTAAAAAAAAATTTAAAAGGCTAAGAAGGATGTAAATCGATCATAATAAATATACCAGTTTATAATAAAACAACAGGGCTGTGCGGTTATCTCTCTATCAAATGGCAATTTGTAATGCGCTATCCTGGCGTCACCCAGGGTAGGGGTTACCCTTTGATGTTCAGCCTAAGGTAGGATTTGAACTTGGGTCTACCGATCATGAGTCTGATGCGACAACCACTATGCTACTATGTTTACATGTAAATGTGACTTTTAATAAATAATTATTGATTCAAATGAATACACTATTATACAGTAGATCACTTACCCAGTGGCACGTGTCCACATACTTCAGTTAATTCAAGCCTTCAGATTGCACTTGCCATTAGCTATGTACTGGCCATTCAATGTGCATTTGTGTTCAAAATTGGCAACAAGTGACAATGATGGTCAGATACAGTACGATTATGGTCACTACAATCCTACAAATTTATAATCGAATATTTACTTTCGTTTTGTCTTTAGTGGTATTTACCTCACCTAAATGGTGAGAAGGTGGTGATAGTTTCCTTTGATGAATAACCCGTAGCCCCGACCTTTACATTTCAGTGACTATAGATAACCATTCAACATTACAACCTGAGAATGTTCCTTTGTCTTACAGTGCCATGGTCTATCACTTCTAACTGGATGCCAAATCTTCCTTCACATTGAAGACAAAAATGATGGAGTACAGTTCTATGGCAACCAAGAACAGGTCAAACGATTCCTGAATGGACAGTTCCTGCCAAATGGGCAGGAGAAAGAAGTATCGGGTGAGACAGGGTTACTAAAGACTCCAGTAGTTAATTCCAATTCAAATGACAAATCTGTGTATACATCCACGAATGAGATATCTTCTGATGAAATCCCAAACAGCACAACGAATCCTGAAGTTACACCTGAAATGGTTGACAAGTATAATGAAAATGAAATGAATAACAATAAACATACAAATCATCTCAATACTGATGAGAAAAATACCAGTATGGACAAAACAGGCACATTTGTGCCAAAGATTAGTGTTGCTTCATTGGGGAAGAAATTTTCGCAGGTGATGATAAAAAGAGTACTCCTTGAGCAAGAGGAAGAGGAACGTCAAAAAGAGATGAGGAAAAAAGAAACAGCACTGAAAATGGAAAATAAAGAAACGTCTGATAATACTGATATTGTACAATCGCATGAAAGTATAATGATAAATGAAGTTTACAGCTTGGATAGAAACTCGGAACAAACAAACAATGCTGAAATTAGTGAGCAAAACAAATTTGACAATCAAAGAAGCCAAGCATTTACCCCAAACGAACAACAAGAAGGATACAGAGAGTATGTTTATAATCATGCAACAAACCAAAGGAGAGAAAGCAACACAGAACAAAGAGAACCGATAAATTTTTCAGCAAGAGATCAAACAGATGAAATAGGATTCATCAATATTCAGCAAGATGCTGCATCTAGTTCTGATAGTGGCATCTCCACAGAGGCTTTAGAAACCAGTTCTCCCAATGAAAGCTTACCTGCCGAGATTCCGTATTATAAAATTGCTTCAAAATCAAAGAGACGTTATCAGTGTGGCATTTGTGGGAAAGCATTTACTCAGCTGTCCGTGTTGAAGGAACACATGAAGACACATACAGGTGAAAAACCATACATATGTAAACAATGTGGAAAAGAGTTCAGTCATCCAAGTAATTTCAAACGTCATGAACGCCTTGTACATAGTGGTTCTGGTGAAAGAAGGCACCAGTGTCCAGTTTGCCTGAAAGCATTTCCACTATCACACCATTTGAAAGAACATTTCCGTATTCATAGTGGGGAGCGCCCATACCAGTGCAAAGTATGTGGACAGAAGTTTAAGCAGTCATCAACATTAAAAACTCACCAAAAGAGGCATTTCACAAAAGATGCTTTAAATGTTGATACTAATGATTTATACCAAAATGCAACGGATATGAGCCAACAGAACATTTCACAGAGGCACTTTTCATCTTCTTCCTCTCCAAGATCTATTGATGGCTTAGATATTGAAGGGATTCACCCAAACCATTCAAACTCCTCCTTAGCTAAGAACCCATCGCCCGGAGTTGTAAAGGCAATGGAGGGGTACAATGGAGTGCCACATGCGGATGATGTTGTTAGAAACCAGCCTTTTCATCCAAGAATGCTCCCTGTTCATCATTTGAATATGCCGACAACAGAATTACCAAAAGCTTCCAAACCATTTGTTAACGTCCAAAGTACACAATTTTCAATGGATGCAGTCATGTTGCAACACACTAGTAAATTTGGACCAGATGGCAACACTGACTCATTTGAAAATAACAGTCCAACAAGAGTGAGCAGGTATCCACCACCTCTCATCCACTGCAGGTCTAAAGACTGGTTTGACGAAGACAGAGAACTTGGGAATAAATATAAAAAAACAAGGGTCGAAAGCAATGACGGAAACACCATGCTACAGCAGGGAAATGAACAGCAGAGTGCCTCAGATGACGCTGATTCGACACGTTTATCGCCCATAGGTAGCGAGGCAGACGATCTCCTTTCTGCTACGAAAGGTCATGATAGTAATCAGCCATTTGAACATATCAAGGTGAAATTGGAGGTGCCAGATGAACAAGTTAACAAAGCATCATCTTGTATAGCTGACGAGAATACTGATGACAATCGTTCTAGTGGGACAGGGTATGCAGGCAGTAGTGAGATGTCTGGTGGAAGTGGAACAGATAGTGACTCACCAAATCACGTTCAGCAATACTCGCAGCCTGGCCTATACCCACTCCATATAGCAGCAAGAGAAGGAACAATGGTGATGAGCCAGACAAGAAATGATTATCTAAATTGTTTCCACTGTAAAGTATGCGATACATTCTTGTCATCTGCAGCCACATTCCATGAACATCAAAAGGTATGTCATGGATTAGGAACTTCTGACCAACATATGTGTCACTTATGCAGGCGTAGTTTCAGCAACCAGAGTAACTTCAAACGGCATTTACGCCTCATGCATAGCGGTACCAAGGTAAGACGCCATCAATGTCTAGTCTGTTTTAAAGCATTCCCACTCGGCCATCACTTAAAAGAACATTTTCGCATTCACAGTGGTGAGCGGCCTTACAAGTGTGAGGTCTGTGGAAAAGGCTTCACCCAGTCTTCAACGCTCAAGAATCATCGCAAAACACACGCCCAGGAAAAGGCAAGTTACCACTGCACCAATTGCAACCGGAGGTTCCCCGACGCACAGATGTTGATGGATCACCGTATGCAGCACATTATTGAGTCGTGTAAGTGCCCTACATGTGGCAAGCAATGCCGTAGTCCTTATGAACTCGGTGTTCATAGAATGAAAGAATACTGTTCCAGTAACAATATGCAAAGCAGGCAAAATCTTTCAGAACAGCAGGCTATGCCAAACTAACTAATTACAATCAGTACACAGAGTTAGAAAATAATCGAGAACGATCTGGTTATGCAACTTGTGTTAGTGTTGTTATATTGAAGTTGGTGGTAAACTTGTTGAGATGAGAGGAGATGGTAACACAATATTGTTTTTCCTTCACTTAGTTCTATCTTGTTTAGTTTAGTTTTTATTTCCAGGGTGTATAATTTGTTTGGGATTTTTTGTCATTATCCATTTAAGATTTTTTTGTCTGATTTATTTTCTGCGCTGATTTTTTTGAATTTCACGACTTTTGTCGGTGAACCCCACAATAGAATTAATGTATTTGCAATGATGATACTTCCATTGTAATGGTCTGTCACGTTCAGTGAAATAAGCTCGCACAATGTTTTATTAGAACAAGTTTTAGTGTGCTGAGCACACATTTGGGGAATGTATTGTAATGACTTAATAACCAAGACGTTCAGTAATACTAGTAATCTAAAAAGGAATCATAATCTGGATCATTGCCCCCGAATCAATTAAATTATTCGTTAATGATATCTAAGTTTAGTAGTTTCCCTCTTTATTCGGTTTACCGTTTACTGCGAGATCTTGCACAATGCGAGAAATGCGCCGATCGAACGTCTGCTGCGAAAATCAAAATGATTTGATTTTGAACTTGAATTTCTTTTGTTATAGTACAATGTCAAATGCGGAGCTTTCAGAGGAGAATGTGTCCTTGAGATACACTTACTTATTATAAATGCGGGAGGGTCGTCACCTGCGCACGCGCGGGAATTGAGTTTCAAGCAATGATAACAACTCGCGCTAAAAACGCCTAGGATCATGGGTAGACGCTTGTTTGTAAACAATGACACGCTATGGCCATCTGACGCACGCGAAGGCGACGCTGTGATCTTTGTTTGTTTTGTTTTTACGTTCGATTTCACGCATAACACGGGATCTCGCTGTGAACAGAAAATGATTTAATACTCTATTTGATGTGTATAATATCACCCTGATAAACACAGTAGTGAATTACACTGGGGTGCCGGAAAGATATTATGACATATAAAAATATATCGTATTTACTTGCAATCTGCTAAAAGGGTTGTGGATGGTTTTTGTTTCAAATATTCAGCTAATCTATCAATTGACATAACGTTGTATGTGTCAGAAACCATATGGTTGACTCATTGCTTACAACGATCCAAGAGAACTCTGCACCTCGCAATGTATGTTGGTTAGACCCTGATACAATAGACGTTCATAGCTTGAGCACCTCGAGATAAAATATGTAAATGGAACAAATATATCAAGACAAACAAATATTTGATTAAAATTAAAAAGAAAATTATAGCGCTTTCTTAATGAAATATGATCAACAAATGAGAGGGTTGTCAGTGGTCATTCCGTAAATAATGTATTTTTCATGCGTTGTGTTTGTGTCGCATGGAAACCATATCGTCGCCGTTTCAAAAGTCAAAATTGTGTATGATGAATCTTGACTGCAACATTTTACGATCATTGTCAAAACAAATATTCCTAGGAGATTGATGACTGACTTCCGACGATCTAACCAGTCTTATATGCCTTAAACTGTATTTCTAATAATGACTGGCCCCCCTTGTTGCCATGGAGAAATGTGTATTGTTCTTAAAGTTTGATTTCTAGTTTGGAGGTATATTCGTGTTAATACTCAAAGCAAATGGTAGAAGGTTTTACAAGCCTATAGATTCACTACAAATTTCTAATAATTGCCTGAGTAAACTAGCTCAGAAATTAATAATTAACTAATAAAGTTGTCCGAGCTATACCAGTAGCTAACCC